AAATAAGTCTGGAGCTGTGACAAACACCTTGTGCACAGCTATGGCATATGACACAGCACTGCCCACATGGCTGTTGCTCCTATAACAGCTTTTTTATCAGTTCTTTTGTCTTTGGGTTGTTATATTTCTCACAGATTTCTGCTCATTCTAAATCAGATACAGATAAAGTAGCACAGTAGAGATTACATTAATATGAATGCATTAGTGAGAGCGATTGCGTGTGTGAATTAATTCTACCTGGCAGTGTCTCTCTACTAGTAGTGAAGCTGTGGAATTTAGTTAAGAAATATATGCTTGAACTTTTCAGTTTCTAAGTTATTTTACTGAGAAATCACAGAACAGTGTTGACAATGCATTTCCGCGCTGAATGACTCTGTGCTCGTTATGTGCGCTACAGTCTGTAGCCTATGTGTGTGCGTTACAGTGCAGCAGTGCATTAGATTGGAATGGCGATTAACTTACCTGTACAATAAGCCATTTAAAACGTGCATTCTCCAGTAATATAATCACACATGTCTTGTGGAGCGCTTTCAGAGTATGCATTTATTTGTCATTTGAACTGTTTGGAAACGGAGCGTAAATGTGGAAGTCCTTCAAAGATTTCTAATCCTGTTGCGCCCTCTATAGGACCAGCGACTAGTCGATTAGTCGGTGCAACCCCTAATCTAAAGTATAAGTATGTTTATTTTACAAATTAATTTTTTAATCAATTTTCAAATGATTTCAAATTTCTTAAATATTAATTAAAATAAATAGTTATATCGGCCACCCTGCTTTCCAAGATATCGGCATCGGCTGTCAAAAAAACAATATCGGTCGGCCACTAGTCCTAATATATTTAGTCCGTTGTTAATCTCTTCTGTTGCATCCAAAACTATATGTACAGAAACAGATATATGCAGGTTTAGATGAATCTTTCATCTGACTGATATTTGTCACCATAGCTGGGTTTTTGTTTGGGATTCCAGGCCTGTTTGTATGTCTGCATGTGTGTGTTGACAAATCAAGTTACCGTATCAAGCCTCCATTGGGCTTCAAAGCCCTATTGACACATTCTCTCTGAAAGAGCCTCATGTGGTTAGAGCAGCCAGCCACCTATCAGTGCAGATATGTCGGTCAACATATGGTTTCACATAGTTGCCTATGCACTAATGAACTGAAAAACACTGTGACAACATGACTTGTAAGTCTAGAATAACGGACAGATCAGATCTACTGTCTTAGTCTTTGTCAGGATGTTCAGTTTGTTTGCCTGAACTGTGTAGACATTAAACAATAGATTAGTCTGGCATCTGTCCAGACTCCAGAGAGTGACATGAAATCATATTAAACACTCCGTGAAGGTTTGTACAGCTGTGTATAGAGTTAGTTATAATAGATGTTAGTGCTGGGCGGTATACCGGTTCATACCGAATACCGGTGTTTATTTTTGTTATGATATGAATTTTTAAAATACAGCAATACCGGTGTATGTCGCTTAAACAACGTTCGGAACGCGACACTGTTTGAAAGGGGTCCCTTTTCACTGTTGCACTGTGGTGAGGGAACAGCTGTATGTGTTACTAAGCGTGAAAGTTCTGAAAAATACCGTGATATAAATTTTTGCTCATACCGCCCAGCACTAATAGATGTGTTATTTTTTCCTTCTAGGCACCATAATAAAATTCGCAGACTGGATGGGAAGCTGCTGCAGAACTTCACTGCTCTGGAGACTCTAGATCTGAGTAATAATGACATCACGGAGCTGAGGGAGCACTGCTTCCCTCCGGGGTTACAAATCAAGGACCTGTAAGAAACTCGTTCTCTTTCTTTCAAATAGATATAACTGTGAACATCTGTGTTTTCATGTAACAGTGTATTCTTTCAAAATCTGAAGTGTGATATTTCATCTCTGTAGGCACCTGAGCAGTAATAAGATTGTTCATCTGGAGTTCGGGGCGTTTAAGAATCTTGCCGGGAGTCTGCAGATCCTCAAACTGAACCGGAACCGACTGACCCACCTTCCTGTTAAAGGCCTGGAGCTGCCCAAGCTCACACAACTGTGAGTGCACTACACTGTGTATATACACTACCGTTCAAAAGTTTAGGGTCATAAAGATTTTTTATTTTTTTTTAAACCAATTTATATTTTTATTCAGCAAGGATGCCTAAAATTAATCAAGTGACAATAAGGACTTTTATAATGTTTCAAAAGGTTTCTTTCATACAAGTGATATTCTTTTCATCTTCATTCATCAAATAATCCTGAAAAAAAAAAGGTATCACATTTCCACAAAAATATTAAGCAGCACTATTGTTTTCAACATTGATAAGAAATTTTTCTTGAGCCTCAAATCAGTATATTAGAATAATTTCTGAAGTATCATGTGACACTGAAGAATGAAAATTCAGCTATGAATTTACAGGCATAATAAATTTGATTTTTAAATATATAAAAATTAATTATATATTTAATTTATAGTGTATTTTTTATTTATTTATAAATTATTTAATATTTAAATATATGAATATTTTAATAGTGTAATAATACTTCACAATATTACTGAATTGTTTTTTACTGACCCCAAACTTTTGAATGGTAGTGTACATCGTTTGATTATTAGCAGAGGTGTTTCAATTAATTTTTTCTTATGCGACAAAAACACTAGACATGTATACTGCAAATGTTTATGACTTGTTTGTATTAGTTTTTTTTTTTTTTAAGAGTAGATATACTACTTTTAACTTACAAGTATTTGAGTAGTTTAAACTATATTTTATTATTCCGCAGCTTTGGAAACTACAGTTTAAAGTACCTTCTCTGATACTGGCTTATATTAAAAGTATCAGCATTCAGGATTAGAGAACCATTGGTAAACATCAGAGCAGGACAATTCTTTCTCTCCATCAGATCTATGGATCTATCTGTGCCCTGAGCGTAACCATCTGTGCCTAAGCTCTTTGTTTCTGCTCATATCAGACTTCCATCAAAAATGTGCTTTGTTCTTCAGGTGGACAGTGATATTGAATCTTTGTATGCATGAGGCAACAAAAGCTCATATTAAACCTCTCACACACGTGCGCACACAACTGGAGGACATTTCAGCAACCACAAAGCCACAGCTATGTGGTGAGCGAGAAGGATAGGTTAGTTATGACATCAAAGAGGGATCAGAGCCACTTTATTTGAACTGATGGTCAGCTGTACAATGCTGCACTCTTAAAAAAAAAAAAAAAAAAGGTTACAAAAAGGAGGTTTTGCAGCAATGTCATTATAGGAACCATTTTAGGCTCCCCAAAGAATCTTTCAGTAAAAAGTTCTTAGTAGAACCATTTTTTTCTCAGTATGAAGAACATTTTAATAATCTGAAGAACCTTTTTCCATCTTGAACAACCTTTTGTGCAATGGCCAGGTTCTATGGATGTTAAATGTTTTTACCATAGATGCTAGGGATGCACGATAATCGGATTTTTGCCGATATCCGATATGCCGATATTTTCAACTCCTCTTGGCCGATACCGATATATTTCCTTTTGTTTGGAAACAACACCAAGTCTCTCCTGTGCAGAAATTATAAGCAAAATATTTTTAATTTTGGTAACTTATTTGTTAGAATTAAACAATAATGAAGGTTTTTTGACAGTACATTGAAGCTTTGAAAATAACTAAATAAACTATATATCAATCGCTGTATTTTTTTCCCCAGAAAGATGCAGTGTTAACCCTAACATTTTATTTTAAGATTTAACATTTGTAGATGGTCTAAAGCAAAAGAGCAACAGAGTTGTCTGAAAATCTTTTAGAGCTTGTGATTTGTTTAAAAAATAAAACATATTACACATTAATGAATAAATCAGTATATATAAAATTATTTAATTTACAAGTGTCATGTTTGTGATTTTTTTCATGTAAGCTATAGCTTCTGACCTTTAAATCAAAACATACTCATTATTTTATGACATCAATTACTGCTTTATTTAATCAGAAACAGTTTAAATGTTGTTATATGTAAACAAGCTATTTTACTTTTAATTTAATTAGAAGTAGGCCAACAGATTAAAACTCCTTACCGAACGGGCATTAGGACCTGGGGGAGGCTGCCGCTGCATGTGCTATTACTGTTTACTCTATCATACACTGAACGCCTCATTCTGTGCCTGATTTCACAGATTAAATGTAGCGATCCAAAAGAGTGAATCTAATCATCATTCAGACAAAACTTTGCTTCAAGAATGAGACACAATGCTGACTTGATCTAATCGCTAGCACACCCTGAGCACACGAGTTAACATATTCCTCTTATCGGCAAGACATATCGGCATACGTTTTCATATCGGGCCGATGGCGATATTTACATTTAAAGCCATTATCGGCCGATTCCGATATCAGTCCGATAATATCGTGCATCCCTAATAGATGCCAATAAAGAACCGTTATTTTTAATTGTGTATGTCTTCACAATACCATGCATCATTTCTTCAAATACTTTAACCGTTTTGGTAATTGTGTGTTTTGTAGGGAGCTGAGCAGGAACAAGTTGCGGTTGATTGAGGGACTCACCTTCCAAGGTTTGAGCAGTTTAGAAGTTCTCAAGCTTCAGAGAAACAACATCAGCAAGTTGACGGATGGGGCGTTCTGGGGTCTGGCCCGGATGAGGGTTCTGTAAGTCCAAGCCTTCATTATGACAGCCAAAAAAAATTACTATATAATTATTAACGTTTCTCACAATAGACCATTTATATTACATATAAATCAAATACACATCTACCACATTGCTCATGATGAGAGTGAACACTTTTTGTTTGTCATCTATAGGCACCTGGACTATAACAGCCTGCAGGAGGTGAACAGCGGCTCTCTGTACGGTCTGGAGTCGCTCCTGCAGCTCTATCTCTCCAACAACTCCATCTCTAGCTTTAACCCTGAGGGCTGGGGCTTCTGTGAGAGACTCCGAGAACTGTGAGACATCACTCTCCTTATCAGTCTCCTCCTCCTCCTTATTTTTCTTTATAAATAAATATTTACATGTATTTTATTGTTTAATAGAATAATATAATTTTACTTAGCCTAAGTTCCTGTTTGTTCTTTAAACAAAATCTTACTTGCCTCAAACTTTTAAACGGTAGTGTATATAACATAAAATAGATCTCAGTACAAAATATACAAGAGGATATCATCTCGGTTATTTTTTAAATTTGACACCTGGTAAAGAATTAATCGCACCCAATCTTTACATTACATGGAAGCATTTGTCCACAGTATCACCTACTGCACTAAACACACAGCACTCCTCGCCTTTCTGTAGATAAGCTCTGTTTATCCCCTAATGATGCACTGGATTGCCAGCGCTTAGGAGCTCAGCCCCATTTTCACTCATCTCTCCTGATGCTAGTTAAAGAAAACAGCGTAATCCTCCACGTATATGTGCGCCAAGTGTTACACAGAGATCTGTACCTGGGTGAAAGTGATCTTATCTGGGTGAATGTGTATACACTGGGCAGTCCTGTCAAGCGTATCGTGTCCTCCCTGTATGCGGTATCTTCCTCTATCTAACACTCTTCTCCGTTGTGGGGGTAACAAGGCTTTATTGGTAGGGCATGTTGACTGATGTATCAGCTGAGTGGTCAGCCGTGATTTTGCAGATAGGTTTATGACACGGCTGTTATTGCATTCTGGACAAGACGGCCTGATGGGATGTCAACCTGCTGTGATAAACTAAATTCTGGATTCTGACGAAGCTGACGATTGCAAAACCTAAATGCAGTTCTTGTTTGTTTTTCTTTTTTTTCTCAGGAACTTGTCCTATAATAACCTGACTAAGCTGTCTGAGGGTGGCTTTGCCAAACTGGTGAACCTGATCTCGCTGCGTTTGGGACACAACTCCATCAGTCACATAACGGAGGGAGCGTTTAGAGGCCTTAGTTCCCTACGGGCGCTGTAAGTGTCTTTACCCTGTGAGAAATCCTCTTGAATTTAGAATAAGACAAGCCTGCATGTGAAGAACACTTGATGGTGTCAAAGCTGTGGCACAGTGATTCGAGAGTCCACATGCCAAGCAGCTCTGTCACATTGAGTCATGGTGCTCATATGGGGGATCCAGGTTCAAGTCCATTCTGCCCTGATCACATTCCTAAAAATTTAAGTCATTCTCTACTGTTTAATGTAAAAAGTAAAAAAGTAATAAAAATAGTGAAAAAAAAAACAATAAAATAATAAAAATACATAAAAAATACAATGGAAAAATAGTAAAAAAAAAACAAATCTGATAAAAAAAAAATAATGCCAATGGCAGAATGTGTTGCAACGCAAACACAAGAAATGCACATTTTCATTGTAAACAGCTGATCCACAGTGTTCTTGAAAACATTTCCCTTCTTGAAATGGGTAAACAAATCAGTCATAGTTTTAATTAACACTGTTGCAGAAGAACGTGTTGATTGATATAGTAGCATTTGCTAAAGTAGCCATAAGCTATTAAATCTGTTGAGAAAGCTTTCTGGTTTCTTTTCCACATTGTTTCCTTGTTGTTTCCCACCAAAGTTGGATACACATGTGCACCCTGCTCAAGGCCTCCTAGAAGAAGCTACGTCTTTTTTTTTTTTTGCACACATTGAAAGGCATTATGGGGGACCAACTCTCCAACCTGACTTCCAAAGACACAAAAAGTCTCAACCGCCACTTCATGCCCCCCTCTTTCGGTGTCTCAAAAGAGAAAAGAGAGAATTCTGCCTTTACTTTCTTAGATGAAGGCTTTTTCACAGTAGGGTGACAAGCCAAGGCACAACACAGCTCTCAGTGGATGGCAGTGGGCAGAGTGTGGGGGGAAGGGGCTTGCGTAGTGCAATTGTGAAGGCCTCTGTTTTCTTTTGTTCCGTCCTTCCTTTGTCTTGCTTGCTTGATTTCCTTTATATCGTTCTCTTTCTCTCCCTCACTTGCTTTCTCGCTCTTATCCAAGCCAGTTCTAATCTAATCATGGCCTTAGTGCCTTACTGGGGCTCCTGTTGAAAAGAAGCAGGGGAGGTTTTAATTGGTACGCGCTTCTGGCTGGGCGAGAGGAGCCCTGGTCGGGTGTGAAAGACCAGAATCGAACCGTCTTTGAGCTGAGGGGGTGGGGGTCAGGCCTGGGGGAATTGTGCATTCACAAGCAGCCAGCCAGAAAGAATAGGAAATTGGCAGCCAAGGCCAGGCATGGAGGGAAAGTAACAGAAAGAGCCAAGAGGGCGGTTGTCGGCTGGGAGGGAACGGGCACAATCCTTCCACCCTCTCACCTCAAAAAGGCATTTATTCTTTTTGAGCAACAGCGATCTTTCTAATGGCATAGAAATAAAGGGACCCCAAACAAAAATGCCATTGTTAATATGCAGTGTTATTTTAGTGTAACTGAGATGCTATTTGAGTATGTTATTTGTTTTATATTTTGTTTTAATTTACATTTTTGTGCAATTTTCAGTATGAAATTTGCCTCGTGTAATCTACACATTCCCTAGCATATGTGTTAAAAAAAGAAGTATACTTTAGGCTTTAAGTGACAGGTTTCACTGAAATTTGTTCAAAACGTGGTTATTCGAATTAAAGGAGATTTGCATCAGAAAGTTAAGGCCATGTAGACAGGCCGCTAGCACCATCTGGACTTGTTCGTGACTTGTCTGAAGTTGTATTGTGCGATGTGCCCATATGCCTTTACCTGCCAACATAGTTCTTGCATTGACTGATTCAAACGGCTGTCAGACTGAGTATATGTGTGCAACTGTGTGAAAGAGTTGTTTTTGTGCAAGGTGCTTTCAGCTGTCATGCATTATTCATGCATTGGCCTGTGCGTTGTTGCGCTCCTTAACGTCACAATTCACAAATAAAAGAATGTGCTTGGTTGGCAGAGGGCAAGAGAGGGAGAGAGAGAGCAAGAAAGAGAGTGTTGTTGGACTTTCTTGTTTTCAACCAGGTGTCCAGGGTAGCTTTTGCCACTGCCGAACATCTGTCAGCGGTATATGGACGAGGAATTGACCCTCTGCTAAGCCTCACCTTTAAAACGTTACTGACCAGTCCAACCTCAGTTTATTTACTGAAATGATCGGGAAAAAAAACACATATAAAATATATTTAAAAAATGCATTTATTTATTAATTTATATTAAATAATCTAAAGAAAAATGGCAGATAAAAGTGCTTCATACAAAAGAATAAATAGCCTTCAAAAATGTCTATGGGATGTTCTCTTCATTAGCAGCAGTAACCAAGGTGGGTGGAGCTTAGCAAAGGGTCAGCTGTTCCATCCTCTGTCTTTCCTTCCTAATCTTTTTCTTTTTCTCTCTGCAGGGAGTTGGACCACAATGACATCTCTGGCACTATAGAGGACACCAATGGGGCCTTCACTGGCCTGGAAAACCTCCACAAGCTGTGAGTGTCACGCATTCTCCTTTATCTCTACCATCATCTTTAGTTCTTCGCTTTAATTTTGGACATTCTTACATCGTGTGCAGCCAAAACAATTGACATCCCCAAAATCCTTCTCCACATTTAACTTCAAACATGCAAAATCAGGCCACGTCTGTCCATGACAATTTTAAGTTTATTAAGTTAAAAAGATGAGGAAGAGCAGGTAACCTCATCCCACACCCTACATGCAGTGCAGATTTGGGAAGGGAAGCTTTTTATAATTGACCGATAATAGATTAGCTCTTGGCTTTGCTCTTGTGATGGAATCAGCGAGGGCTTAAAATGGGAAGCAGGCAGAGGAGGGGGCTCCTTCAGACACATCAAACGTCCCACTCTGCGCCTTTTGTTATGGGAGCAGAGGTTTGCAAATCTGCGGAAACCGCCTGTTGATGCACATCCCTGCCAGAAATCCTATTCACCCATCCTGGGAATATGCGAGGGAGAATTAGGGAGCGATGTGCACAACATCAAAGTCTTTTCTGCTGTGTTGTTACCACAAGATGGGAACGGCAGCCGACTCTATTTTTAGTAGGTTATAAATAAAATCTAGATATTTTTTTTGATAATTTGCTTGTGGATCACTTGTACGCCCTAAATCTTCATGTAGAGATTCCATGCGCACCTGCTCGTGATGTCAATGGATCCAGTTAGCATCTATTTCAATGGTTTCTATTTGGAACCACAGTTTGGTCGGAGGTTGGTATGGAAGCCCAGGGCTCAAGACTGCCCAGAGGGTGACCTGCAGATGGGTGGTTGCTTCAGAAATGGTGGGGGGGCTGGAGGAGATGAGTGGAGGTGATATCTTAGTCTTGCAGGAGATGACAGATGCTGTCGCGCACACACATAGACCATCAGTCCGCTGACAGACACGGCAGGGTCTGGGTTTTCTGGGGTGATTCCCATAAGCACATAGTGAATAAACTAGTTGATCCTCATGAAACTTTACTCTAGCAGTGACACTTTTTTGTTTGTTTTTGTTTATTTTATTATAATTTTTGACAATTAAATGAATGTTTAAATTGCTGTTTAAGATGATACATTTTGTTTTTGCACATGGTATAATTTTTTTTAGGGATGTCCAATTTTATACTTTATAAAACTATATAAATTGTGTTTATATTGCTTTTTGTGTATTTTGGGACCATAGCAGCTGATAGTAATGATTTTTTGAGAACACTTTACAATAAGGTTGTTCACTATTGTTCACTAATATAGTTCACTATTAGTAACTTTAATAACAAAGGTAATATTTTTAAATGTAATCTTTAGCAAAATTTAAAAACTCAATTTTTCATACTGTACATTCCAATGTTGTGATTCCTAAACTCACTTGCATTTAAAAATGATTTTATTTAATTTTTTATTCATTTAGACAAAATATTTGTAAAAAGATTTTTATAGATTTTTAACATTGGCCATTTATCGGATGTCAGCCATAACGTGAAAATAATTACCTGATTATCAGTATCAGTTAGAATTTTAATATCAGTGCATCTAGTGTTGTCACGGTACCAAAATTTCAGTATTCGGTACCAATACCAGTGAAAATCCACGGTTCTTGGTACCAATTTCGGTACCAAAGCAAAACACAAAAACATGCTAATTGAACAACATTTTTATTAATAACGTTAAACAAAAATTAAATGTACAAAACCAATGCCATTCTTTATACTTATTTAAAAGTGTTTCAAGTTTTTCCACAAGTAATAAATGTAAGAAAAAAGTAAACAAGTTTCACCCAAAAGTTTAGTCATAGTTCTGCTGCCACTGAAAAACATCTGTAAGCTCCAAGATGGTGAGAAATAAGATTCTCTGGTCTGATGAGACCAAGATAGAATTTTTTGGCCTTAATTCTAAGCGGTATGTGTGGAGAAAACCAGGCACTGCTCATCACCTGTCCAATACAGTCCCAACAGTGAAGCATGGTGGTGGCAGCATCATGCTGTGGGGGTGTTTTTCAGCTGCAGGGACAGGACGACTGGTTGCAATCGAGGGAAAGATGAATGCGGCCAAGTACAGGGATATCCTGGACGAAAACCTTCTCCAGAGTGCTCAGGACCTCAGACTGGGCCGAAGGTTTACCTTCCAACAAGACAATGACCCTAAGCACACAGCTAAAATAACGAAGGAGTGGCTTAACAACTCTGTGACTGTTCTTGAATGGCCCAGCCAGAGCCCTGACTTAAACCCAATTGAGCATCTCTGGAGAGACCTAAAAATGGCTGTCCACCAACGTTTACCGTCCAACCTGACAGAACTGGAGAGGATCTGCAAGGAGGAATGGCAGAGGATCCCCAAATCCAGGTGTGAAAAACTTGTTGCATCTTTCCCAAAAAGACTCATGGCTGTATTAGATCAAAAGGGTGCTTCTACTAAATACTGAGCAAAGGGTCTGAATACTTAGGACCATGTGATATTTCAGTTTTTCTTTTTTAATAAATCTGCAAAAATGTCAACGATTCTGTGTTTTTCTGTCAATGTGGGGTGCTGTGTGTACATTAATGAGGAAAAAAAATTAACTTAAATGATTTTAGCAAATGGCTGCAATATAACAAAGAGTGAAAAATTGAAGGGGGTCTGAATACTTTCCGTACCCACTGTATATATATATATATATATATATAAAATATTTTATATCAATCTTTTATCGGTTATCAGCCATAATATGAAAATAATTCTCAGCTTATTGATATCAACTGGATTTTTAATATCTGTGCATCCCTGCTTTTTTCTGTCTTCTTTATCCCAGCATGCAGCATCTCCTGACTCAGGATTGTGAGCCAGTATCCACCGACTCACAGCCAATAAGATTATCCCCTGATCAAAATGACAACAACATTGTCAGGTGTCAAATCTGGTTTATATGAGGAGGTGCTGGCTTTCACGGTGCTGACTGAGGAGTCTTGCACTGTCAGGGGCTTGTTTTGGTCCAACATGCTTAAGAATGGAAATCGTGTCATCTGGGTGGGGGGGGGAGCGCCTTCAGGCTATTCCCCTTCACCTTCCCACAATGTGTGTGTGTGTGTGTGTACACCTGCTTTTGAAGTGCGAGCAGGATTAGCCCCTACAAGGCGTTTTAACCAGAGCCTTGACAAGGCCACTTTTATTACTATATAAGCCGTGCTGTCCTCCAGCCACTGAAGCTCCTTTTTATGTGACCTCGAGCTCTGGGCTCTACCCTGTCATCGCTATTAAATTCTAATGAAGATAAAAGTAAGCTTTGAAGAGCTGCGCCGGCCCCCGATTCCTCACCCTCCTCCTAATCTCTACACAGTTCGGATTTCCAATCCCACAATCCCCCTCTCTTATCAGATTCAGCCCAACTAATTGTGCACTCTCTTTCTCTCTCTCTTTCCTCTCACCCTGCGTGTCTGGAAACGGCAGAACTCTGTTTGGAAACAAGATCAAGTCGGTGGCCAAGAAAGCCTTCTCGGGCCTGGAGGCTCTGGAGCACCTGTGAGTATCCCGCAATGCCGTTCGGCCCATACAGCAGGGGCTGCCAAAAGTAAATGCTTAAGAGGGCTGCTAGCAATTTAATAGTGTCTTTGTAAAAGGAGAGGACAGGGTGGTTTGCAAGGCCATCTGCTCTTGTCTCGCTAGAGCCAGCTTTAACTTGCACAGGAACACAGTTATGGAGCATATGGTCAGTTTTGTAGAAGAAAAGGAATTTTTAAGCACTTCTGCAGATGCTGTAACTCCACGTCTGATATTGGGGTCTTTCCACCTTGTTCAGAGTTATCCCGTATAAAAATAGGCTACGGATTTGCATGCTAGCGCAGCAGCTGTATGTGAACATTCCCATGTTCTCTTTCTGTCACGCCTGAGGGCCCTGTTTAATCCCTCAACAGTAACTTTGGGGAAAATGCCATCCGCTCCATCCAACCCGAGGCATTTAGTAAGATGAAGAACCTGCGTTACCTGTGAGTCCCATTATTACACATGCTCCTTTTCACACGCACATCCACTCACCCGGTATCTAATGTTTCTCGATCATGAATGTTTGGATGACAGTTAATTGTCAGACAAATTAAATGCATAGTTTCCTGAGGCTTAAAGGAAATAATATGCCATGACTAATGCCAATTTAAAAATGTAAATATTTTAAGAGCACTTCAGTCCACTTTTCAGATTTTTTTTTGAATTCACGTACCTGAGATTTTTTTTTATTTTTTATTAATAATACTATTATTAAAATTCACTATTATTTAAATATACACTACAGTAAGTTTTTTCTTTTTTAAAGAGAAATGAATATTTATATTTAGCAAGAATGCATTAAATTGATCGAAGTACAGTAATAACACTGTTTTTATTTCAAATAAATGCTGTTATTTTCACATTTCTGTTAATCAAGGAATCCTAAAGAAAATGTATCACATTTCGACAGAAATATTAAGCGGCACATCTTTTTACTGTTTTTACTGTATTTTGAATAAATAAATGCAGCTTTAGTGAACATAAGACACTTATTTAAAAAAACGTTAAAAGTTGTTGAAATAATATATTTTTAAATATAGGAATATTTTAGTCTGCTAAATTTGCTGTCAATTTTTTGTACTTTTTAATGTTAATTTTAAAAAGAATATGCTAATGTTAAATTAAGGTGAAACCAGAGCGTTATGTATGTTAGAGTCCACAAGTTTTTTGGACGCTACAATGCAACTGGACATAAATGTGCAAATCATCTCCATCAGTGTTTACAGTACAGATGCATGCTAGCTGGCTTTTACTAATCTTTCTTTCGATCCCTCTCTCTGCAGTCATATTCAGAGTGATAGTTTTCTGTGCGACTGCCAGCTGCATTGGTTTCCCGAGTGGCTGGTAACACGAGGGCTGAAGCCTGGCGTTCAGGCCACATGTGCCCACCCAGAGAGCCTAAAGGGCACCAGCGTCTACCAGGCCCCACCACAGAGCTTTGTTTGTGGTAAGCAGTGCTATATTGTCTATAACAAACAAAGAAGTCAATCACAATAAGGAAGAACATAATCATAAGGTGTGTTAAAATGTCTCTGTCCTTGTACTTCCCTCCAGATGACCTTCCCAAACCCCAGATCACCGTCCACCCTGTCACCACGGCAGCAGTATTGGGCAAAGATGTGCGTCTGACCTGTACGGCCGCCAGCAGCAGCAGCTCGCCCATGACCTTCACCTGGCTCAAGGACCAGGAGACGCTACGTCAAGCCGAGGTGGAGAATTTCGCCCACGTACGGGCCAGTGACAGAGGTGTAATGGAGTACACCACTATCCTCCACCTCCGGCACGTCACCTTCAACCATGAGGGCCGCTACCAGTGCATCATCAGCAATCACTTTGGCTCCTCCTACTCTAACAAGGCCCGCGTCACTGTAAACGGTACATTTAACCAGTGTAAACTATATACTGGTACTCTTCTACATACATTTTCCACTTTAGTTGGGTATGTAATGGGTTCCTCTACAGTTGGAAATGTATATGTCATACCAGTTGCACAAAATTCCGATCACGCACAGATTGTTTAGTCTAGTGGGAGCATTTTGTGAATTGTACAAGCTGACATTTAATTGTCATACAAATAATTGCAATTATTAATTTGTGTTTTAAATGTCAGTGTGTGCTTAATTCACAATAATTGTCATTTATTTAACATTTATAACTTTTAAACAAATAATAAAATGTGTAATTTCCTTTAAGGCTTAAAATAGTAATGTTTAATACATATTTTAATATATAAATATTTTAAATATCTAATTTTGTAAATATTAAAATATTTTAAATGTTTAAAATGTATAAACATTTAAAAAAAAAAATTAATAAATATAAAAATACTTTTGGTTCAACTTCAGTACACTTTTCATTTTTAACCCAGCTACCTGAATACAATATTTTAGTAATTTATAAATGTATACTATTATTATATATGTATATAAAAGTCAAAATTCTCACTTTTCAAGGTAATTTTAAGGCCGTTCAATTTGTAATTTGTAAAACATACAAGTCACACCAGTGGCACAAAATTCCCATTATGCAACATTTGCTCAGAGCAGTGTTAATTTCATTCGTCAACGACATTTTTTTCACCGACGACAACGAGACGATAACGAACTAAAACTCTTTTTGAATGACAAAAACTATGACGTAAATCCATTGACATTTTCGTCAACGAATAAAAATGAGACTAAAATGTTTGGGAGGGGCGATTTGGGAAGAGATTCATTCAGAACTAATCTGCAGCGTGGTTTGGAGGTTATGCGTACATATGAACCGGCGGGACATAAGCTAACATACACTTGATTGCTGCATGTTGCATAAAACGTTCAAAGATGTCAATATGTGGGAGTAAGAGAAGAGCAGACATATGGATAAATCTGACGACGCAAGAGAGAACTCAATTCGGTCCGGTTTTCTGAGCGCAGACACTGAAGCATACACAGAGAAAGTGCGTCTCACAGCGCGCGAGTACTCTCTCGTGTCGCATAAATGGAGAATTGCACACAAAATGATGTCGAATTGTCCGTTTTGACAAGTATTCACGTAAATGCAGTTGATTACGTATTAAGTGAACGTAAACAGTAGGGAGAACGTGTATCAGTACATTGCATCCATTGCAGCTGTGCATTCGGTTTTAAAGGGATAGCAGCCTAATTTAGTTGCTATTGTCCGAGTCATTGATGTTAATCAAGCAACAAAAGAAAGACAGAAAATCACACACTGCTCTTGACTGAAAAACTTTAGTAGCCCTAAAGATTAATCTAAATTTATTTATAGAAATAAATATGTCTGCTTGAAAGAATGAAGAATATGGTAAACAAGTTGCTATAAAGAATGTGTAATTAGCCTATATAACCATTGGTATTTCATTAAAAAGAAGACCATGTTCTTGTTTCTTTATGAGAAGTGGTTTTATTTAATTTTAACATAAAGGCATGTTGTGTGTCACCGCAGTTAAATCGGTGTCTATCATGGTAAAACCTTAATATCAAACCTATATAATGAGTTTGGAAATTTTAGAGAAATGCTTAATAAATGCACTGTAACTAAACCCA